TCCGCAAAATGTCGTCAGGGCAAAAAAAAAACCCCACATATATAAGTAACAAAACAAAACACAGACAGGGAGAGCACTGAGCCGCTGCGTTTGCGCGCGCCGCCATCTTATGTTCCAGAGTACCAATACCAGTCAACTATCACCATGTTAGTGTCTCTTTGTTCGTTTCACTGTTTGTGCTTTCAGCAACATGTGCATGTTTCTGTGTGCACGTTATTTAACTTGAATGCTCGTGTGCGATGACAGCATGTCCTCTGGAATGATTATGCACTTGCTCAGAAAGTGTTGCCAGATCATGCTAACGCCACGGCCCGAGGCTCCACAAGGTGAGAGGAGATGACTGGGAGGTAACGGAATGTGTCCGTCCATTATACATATGAGGCACTTCCCCACTTTCTAACAACCCTACATGCCAAAAGGTTTCAACTCCGGGGTTGCAGACGATGCCTACATGACATGAGTGAGTTAATCTTTATCACATGTGCCATAGAAGATTCAAAGCTCTTGTTTACTCTGGAGCACATCACTCTCTGCTGATTAACATATCAAAGCAGATGAGACAACATAGGAGAGCTTCACTGCCACAGAAGACCAGAACAAACCAGAATGGACTGCACCAGGGGTATAATTGCAGGCATGTGGCTTCACAGGGGACTGGCATGTCAGTGTACTTTTGATTGAGGGATGAGCAGGGAGGGAAACGGAGATGAAGAAATCAGGCTAAATGTGCTGTTGAGTAAAAATACACACTATTAAACACAAAACTGGCAAATTCCTCTACCCACATAAATCAAACTTGTATCAAGTTTATACATAGTGAATTGCTTTAAACAAACAGCAGCTTCAACCGGTTTATGGGAATAACTTATGAGCAATCAGACTACGTTTATGAAAGGCATATTTGAAGCCCAGGCTATGACGTGGGAGAGTAGGTGTAAGAGTAACACTGCTGGGTGAGACTGTGATTCCTGAGCATATCGTAGGTGGTTATTGATGGGAAGTCTTGAGGTAGTTATTATTGTAACATCTGCCTTCCAGAAAGATAATCAGACACAGTCACCACGGAGCAGGCTGGAAACTATCTGCTCAGATCTGAACCTGCATCTCCCTGCCCACTATAGGCTCAATTCTATTATAAAGCCACGTTCGGTTCTTTCAAACCAGGAACTCAGAGGGACGACTCAGACCACTTGTATATATAAAAAAAATATAACCGTGCTGGTTTATTCAAAGGGTCACAGGCAAGAATTAACTTTACACGTCCAGGCATCTTCCACCCCCAAAGCTGCTCGCAGGCAGCCCGGAAGAAGAAAGACCTGGAACCCAAGATTTCTATACAATTTAATCACTTCGTTGGGCTAGCCCCATCCTACGCAGGCAACGTCAAACCGTGACGTCACCTGATATGCCAGCTTGGCAGCTGAGCAGAGCAGTAGTCAAAACATGAAGAAAATAATGTGTGTGAATGTTGATTATGTGGTATGTATCTAAAAACATACAGGACATTCAGGGACATGTCCGAACAGTAAGCCTCGGAAAATGTTATGATTAAGATTACGGCTGAACATAGCAATAATAATAGCAATATTCATCCTGCCTGCAGACTCTTCAATCTAGTTGACCTTGGGGCCCACATGCAGCCTGCAGCAAGCTCATGACAATGCACTAAGCATTTAACAGCCTGAGCTAGACATCCTGGCTACACTAACATTTTCTAATACAACAGATCTCTAATCAATATCTATCTAACTAAGAAATTACCTAACACCACCTTGCCTAACATCTGTCATCTGATTCAGGGAGAGGAGGAAGGTCTCAGCTATTGATATCTACCGGTCTAGCATCAGCAGTGGAAATATTCACTTTGCCAAGCTGTTTGAATGTTTGAAACTAAACATCGTTTAGGCCAACTGGTATGTTCTGCAGCCAGAGTGAGAGTGGGCAGATCCAAGGGGTGGTCAGGGGTGGCACTAGCCACTCCCAGAATCTCATTGGCCACCCCTGGTGCCAGCCCTGCCTGAGTCAATATGTGACAAACTGTTGCCTTAAATACAGCTAACATTTTTCTGGTGCTTTATAACTGATATTGGTGAACTTATTTCAAATTAAATGTCAAATATTATGTCATGCATGCAGCATAATATTTGTGCATAATAGTTGTGTTGTTGTGGAGTAGTTGGCATGAATTATTTCAGTGGGGAGGAACAGCAGCAATGTCCTCAGCCAGGAGTAAATAAGGAGCAAAGCCAAAGGTAGCAAAAGAAAGCCTGATGTGTCTCATTTACACACAGAATAAACAATTTGATTCTTAATAATGCATGGTTTGTTATGGGTTTAATATAGTTTTTACATGTTTTTCAAATGTGCCACTTCTCTCGGTGTCTGTGCTGAAGTGAAGGCTGCTTTCTGTATGACCTATCCAAAGTGGTTCATTAGAGGTGTTGGGAAGGCTGGTACTCAGCTGTCTCAAGCCCCCAGAGTGGGCAGTCCCCAGGGCTACAAGGAATAGAGATGGAAGTTGCATGGCACCCACTAACGCTCTGTAATGCAATACTCATTTCTAAGGCTTCTGCTCACCAGCTCCACTGGACAGCCCCTTAGCCGACGGCACCATAATATCTACTGATGAAACCTAAGACATTAACTTACAGAGTGGGGCTTTACCTTTCCAAAACTCTCTCTAGCTTTATGTCTAATTCAGTCATAAGTAATTGTGACCACGTTTAGGCAAAAATAAAAATCCTGTGAATATATAGCTTGTTATACAAGCCCTGTTTGTCTTTGCCTTGCTCTTCTAGACGATCCTTTTATGTTGACAGTTTTGCCTTTGTACTGTCACTGTGACTTCTTCAAGCTTTTCTTTTTTATCTCACGTTTTCTTCTTGCAACTGGAGGAGTTGCTTTTCTGTTTAACTGTGGTCCCTCATTGATGTAACTTGACAAAGTACGTTCCAGCTCTGTGTGTATGATCCACATTTCCCAGTCATTTATGTCATGATGATGGGTTATGACAACATGTGCTGATTAGTCTGGTCATTTGGGTCAATGCACATGATTCCCAGGCTAGTTAGACTGACTGGGGCTTCAAGCAGTCTGTCTTGCTCATCATTTATCATCTGCTTCCACAGCTGGGCAAGTGATTTTTTTTTTTTACTCCGCCTCTTAATGCTGACATGAACTCTTTATTCACCATCTGTTCCTCACATTGTTTATATCAGCATTTGAAAAATAGAACTGATGATAAATGTAGGTGTGAACAGATTTAAGGTAGAGTTTAGAATAAAGACTCAATTACCAGTAATATTATTTGAAATTTGTGTAAAAGTGTAAAATTCATGTTGTTCCCTGAATCTTTGTTTGGTTAACCTAAAATATGAGTATGAAATTAATTTGATATATGCTAAATAGTCATTGTTAACTGAATGCTTACTGCAGGTTTTGCACTGAATCCCACTAATTTTCTTCCAGCTTTACCAAATTAGTTTAATAGTTGACACTTGTTTTGTGTTTTTTAGGTTATCAAGCTGCTGGAAGGGAAGCGTTCACAAGCAGTTGGCATCCTCATATCAAGCCTGCATTTGGAGATGAAGGACATTCAACAAGGTGAAAAATACTTTCTGATGTCATCATTATGATGATATGCAGAGGGAGTTATTTTTAGAGATGAGAATTTCCTACCTTTTGACAGCTACTCATTTGTAACTTGAGAACATTTGGATTCATTCGTGTTTGAAGTGTAAATGTGGGTTTTTTTGTAGTTATCTCAGTGGGAAAGAAAATTCCTTGATTCACCAGAAAGTAAAAACAGCCTCTCAATTATGCACTGGTTAAAATTACATTGCCAGTTCCTTTGTTGAAGAGCTATATGGATTGATTAGGTCCTGGGGGTTTTTTGTGGAGAATACAGGCGCTTGTGTGTCAAAATGTGTGTAAAATACATAATGTGTCTGTTAGAGACAGCATGGATGTGCCAGGAATTGGTCCTGTCCTGGGACTGTGGTGGAGAGTGCCTGCCGCCTGCTAGTCTGAGCATGCGGCCAGAAAATCTGTTTATTGTAGCCAGTGACGGTTTCCACAAGCCTAATGGGACTGACACCCAACTAATGATCTAAGCATGTACAAAAGCACCTTCCACACTTAGCAGACGCTGCACTGGCATGCATTAAAACCACCTCACACACAAGTCAGGCAGCACTCAGTTTAGATTTTCCTTTCTTTTCAATCACTTTCTCTCTGTTCGGGTATCAATTTGTGTAGTATTTCTTAAAAAGCCTTCGTCACAGCCAGCGTGAGGCTGCTTCCTTATTCCTTAACAGGTCAATATGAAATGGATGATTTGAATTTGACAATGAAGGACAGTACCTTAATATGTACCTTGAAGTGCCCTAGTCCCTCGCCTCGCCTGCTTCCCTCCTCTTTTTTGCCAAATTAAAAGGACATGGAACATGTAATTAGAGTTACTAGGGAGGGAGGAGCGAGCGGGAAGGGGGAGAGGACAGAAGGCAATGCTCTTGTTAAGAGAGAGAGAGGGGGTCAACCGCAACCACCAGCATGATTGGGGAACCTCAGGGGCCACCATGGTTCAAGGGCAAAGGGAGGCTCTCCCCCACACACCAACTCAATACACACATACACATGTTCACACACTACACATGCTCTTCCACACCAAAGCTGATGAGTGAAAAGTGGAAAGAGAGGGTGTTAGGCGGTCAGCAGCCAGGCTTTGATCTGTCGGTGTGGAGGGATATCCGGCTCCCCTCAGATCAGCGTGCTCCTGTGCACACTGGACCAGACCCCCCTTTGGTGTGTGTGATTGAAGGCTGCACAGCTGAAGGAATGAATAATCCACTCTAATAAGATGCAGGAAATGGACCTCCAGCATTCTGTCTGATTCAGACAGTGGGACCACAGGGACAGCATCTCTGCAACAGGAACAGCTGGAAACCAGAAGTATTACCTTTTTAGCTGGAAGCAGTGGGCAAAAAGACTAGGTGGTGGTATACAGTAGTTACCTTGGTTCTGATACTGAAAAATGAACTTTTTTTTACATTGCTATAAACAGGTTTTTCAAACAGAAACTTTTTAATTGCCTAATTAGTCACACATTTCTCATTTTCAAGTTAATTGGCTTTATTATTCTGGGGGTTTGGCTACACACAATTGTATTAAGTGGACCTGTAACATGGCACCCTCTGAGGCAGACGTGTTTGCGCGTTCCACTCCAGAATGCCGGCTTTTTCTTTGTTTTCTTCTTTTTTGTGTTTTTTTACTTTCTGCAGTGCAAAGATGTCACGCACTGCTAACATACAACAGCCAGGCATTGCTGGATATCACCAACTCACACAGACACTGGGAATTTACTGGTTTCATACCACCAGAGCTACAACTCATTGTTCGTTCCTGCAGCAACAACAACTGCCATCACCCCCAGGAAGGCCCCGAAGCATCAAGCACAAGTGAGCAGGCTGACCCCAGGACAGCGATCTGGAGACAGAGACGGGGCAAGCGAGGAGGGCTCCATGCTAGGCTAAAAGCTCATGCTACCTGACTGCCATTACCCAGCCTCTTCCTAGCTAACGTACAGTCTCTGGAAAACAAATTGGACGAGCTAAGAGCTAGGATTACAGCACAACGGGAAATCACAGAATGTTGTGTTCTAATTCTCACCAAGACTTGGCTTTCTGACAGAGTCCCAGATTCTGTGATTCAGCTACAGACCCACTCTGTACATTGAGGAGACCGCACTGCTGCTTCGGGGAAGGTAGAAGGAGGCGGTGTGTGTGTGTGTGTGTGTGTGTGTGTGAGTGTGTGTGTGTGCGTGTGTGTGTGTGTGCAGGGTCAGAGGAGACTTCCCGCCTCCCTGTGAAGAAACACCTGTTTTCGGCACCAGTGAAATACTGCACGTCTTCATCCAGCTTCCACTGACAAACACACATTAAACTTCAAGTTCATATTAACTTAGAGAGATAGAGCATTACATGTTTGAGAACAAAAGGAAATTCAGTTTTTGAAGATAATTATGGGTGCACCCAGATGCTGTATTTATTACTGTGGGCGACTTTAATCAGTGCAAATTACGGACTGTACTTCCCAAATATTACCAACATGTGAACATTCCCACTCGGGGCAACAACACTCTGGATCATGTTTACAGTAACATACGGGGTGTATACCACGCCTCCACCTTGGACGCTCAGACCATATTTCTTTGTTCCTGTATCCAGCTTACAGACAAAGACTGAAACAAACAAACCCTGTCACCAAACAGGACTGTTTCGCCCAGACAGACTGGGATGTGTTTAAAGCTGCAGCCACCTCAGAGGACTTTTCTGTCAGTGTACAGGACTATGCTGAATATGTGACTGGGTACATTAGTACCTGTATCGACAACATTGTGCCCACCATACAAGTCAGGAGGTTCCCCAACCATAAGCCCTGGATAAACAGTCAGGTACGCCACATGCTGCGTGCTCACTCTCATGCATTCAGATCAGGCGATGAGACGGAGTACAAAGCTGCAAAGTACAGACTGAGGAAAGCCATCACAGCGGCCAAGAGGCAGTACAGAGAGAACCTGAATGGCTTCTATTCTACTACTGACTCCGGATGGATGTGGCAAGGCCTGCAGTACATCATAGACCACCAGCATCATCAGCTCCACAGACAGCCTGCCGGATGGCCTCAACACCTTCTACACCCACTTTGAGACCTCCAGCTGCAGCTACAGCACAGACAGGAAGCACGCACACACCTGGACCACACA